GACCCGTTACTCTCTGCGGCCGTAACAATTAGGTAAATAAATTCGCTACTTTGATCTCGACGCGCTTAAGAAGACGATAGAGAAGACACGAGGAACCGAGAGAGAGGGGAATTGGGGAGAAGGTACGCGCGCCATCCTTAAAGGTGGAGGCGCGAGCATGCTGAGAGCCTTTCGAGGCACCGTATTTTATAACCGGTGTAGACAGCCACCGCATATATACAGACAATCCTTTCCTTTTCCCTCCCTCCCTCCCTCTCTCTCTCTCTCTCTCTGTGTGTGCTGTATGCCATATAACCAGGATGAGACCCGCGGCTTTTTCTCCTCGCGGTCCTGGCGAACGAACACCAGGACCCCGCTGACAACGAGCGCGATACTCCGACCACCAGGACGACGGGGATGGTTTTCGGTCTTTCATCTTTTTCTTTCTCTCTGTCTCTCTCTCTCTCTTTCTCGCTGCTCGAGGACGATGGATGGCGAGAAAGGGACGCAGAGAGGTTTTCGACGCGTAAGATACGCAGGGGATGAGAGAGAGAGGCTTCTGCGTTGTGCGCCCTGTAATACGATTATCTGATCGCGGACGGACATTCAGATTATTTATATTACACACTTGCATTTGCGACCGTTGCAAGATTTAAGGCCACTTTAAGCGATTGTAAAATGCATTACGCACAGTGTATGGAAAGGAGTGATTTCCCATTCGATTTGTTGAATACTGAAAGTGATGTTACTTATTGTAAGTCATATAATGTAGGGAGTTTAATCTTGATTTATGACTACTTTGTAAACTATTGTTGTCTGTTTTTAACCGTACAAGCTTGCAATTTATTCTTTATTTCTTAGATACTACGATAAAATTAAAATCAGATGGAGAGAAAAAATCAATTAAGTGCTCGAATGTGTGAGAGAATTGAATTCGTGTTACAGGATGTGATGTTATTATGTAACGCAACCGAGCGTGACACGCAAAAAGATTCGGAGAAAGCATTCTTACTTGTTCGAGAATCTAGGAGAGGAGGTTTCCTCTCGAAGCGAACAAAGCATTTACGATCTTGTGGCTTCGGTCTGGTCCGGTCTGTCTTACCGAAGGGAATGCGCATCGGATTGTATTCCGCATACACGTCGATTGAAATCGATATTCCTCGCAAGGTCGGGCAATAACAAAACAAGCGAAACAATGCATCACGCGGTATAGTCTCTCGCCGAGGGTTGGAACAGCAGGTTAGACTGCTCGCGATTTAATACACTCTGATCCCACGTAAACGTATCACGGCGAATGTATTTTATCGTTCCTTCGTGAAAGTTTTTCATCGAGTAGAGATTCGCGAAGTGAATTTTTTTAATGTTTGCAATTAAGAATATCGAATCTAGTAATAGGTTTCTTAATAGAAAATGTCATTCATGATATCATAAATAATGAGGCATAATAATCTCATCGAGATAAAATCTCGAGAGATGATTAGCGAAACTTTCGGCAAGAAGAGGTGACGAAAGCAGTACAAAAAGACGATTACAGAGAGGGGACGGGAGCGAAAGACTAACGAAGACAAGACTGTAGCGAGGGATGGCCGAAATCAAACGTTATAGCTGCAGTGTACGCGCTATCGCGCGGAGGGGGCATCGAAGTGGGCCTGAATCGGCTGTCCGGATCAGCACCGGTATTGCTCGGCAATAATTCATTAGCATGATTGTCCGAGTGGAATGGAGGAGGACCTTCGGTTTCTCTCTTCTTCTTTCCGCACTTCTTCTGCTCTCGCATTTTATTCCCCTCTTTCTCTCGCGCTTGCCGAAAAGAAGAAAGACGCGGGGATGTCGAGGATCCATAGTTCTCTCTGCCGTCTGAGAGGAGGTTCCGCATATGGCCCAACAAATTTCCCTCCTTCCACACCCTAGGTCGATCCTTTTTTTCTTCGCTTCGTTTTCGTCCCTCCTCCCTCCCAGCGAGGTACTCGATACGCGGCTCGAGCCGCCAGAAGAGCGCATCGCCGCTTCAAGGTGGCAACAATGTTGGCGGGAAAGTTATTCGACCGCTTGCCACTAAATCATTCCTCGCGGACTCCTGCTTTATTATCCTCCATCCTACCTCCACCCTTGGCTGGCTCTACAATTCCTGGTCTCTTTGTCTCTCTCTCTTTCTTCTTCCCTCGCCCTCCTCCGCGATGGCCGCGCGCCTCTTCCTTTCAGAGCCCTTCTGTTAGCACGTTGGATAGATGCGCTACTCGCGCTTGTGGAAAAATCACGGTGGATATTATAACGCGGACGCGCGCGGAGCATCCAGGGGATGTTGTTGCAAATTAGGTTTCTACGATGGTAATTCTCACACGCGCTCGGGACAACGGCTTTAACTTGACCGCGAAGCGCTTTGAAGATATTAATAATGCCAGTTTATTAACGCGCGGCGCATATTACGCGGGACGAGTCGTAATATTTTATAGTTCTCTCCCTGTATGTTCCCTATCGCCATGCTTCCACTATCGGCGATATAAATGCCGATAAAGTACACGCGTAACGGCTAATATAACACATAACGTGTATACTTTAATATAATACGTTCGCGCTATAATTTCGTTTCCTCTCATTATACCCGTTCATTTACGGCGCTATCAGATCGGACATGGTAATGACAAATGCCGACGAGTATACCCTTCCGATTTATCGACTTTCAGGAGTTCTATTCTAGTCTGCCTATGCGATCCGTTAGCGATCCGCCTACGTAGAAAGGAATATTTTCTCCGCGCGAACCGCCCCGACCTCCTTAATTGTAGCTCAAGATTGCAATCTTGTTCTTTCGACGCGCCCTCTCTACGATTCTCACGATTCTCGTACACATTGTTTTCGAGTGGAATATTATTGCCTGGCAGATAGCAAATTTAATTTCTTCCCGCGCATTCTTCACCGAACCGTCATCAGGCTTGCAATTAATTGCGAAAAAGCTTCACGAAGAAAAAAGAAATACCTGTAGCTTTCTTTGCAAAAAAAAAAAACACGACACAAAACATGATTCTATATTATTAGCGTATGGTTGAAGAGACTTTACGCGACTACTTATTTTCAACTATGGCAACACAAGTAACCGCTTAATTTACCACGAAACACCTATCTCTGCCATCGGATAAACACGCGAGAATGGTTTGCGTTAACCATTGCTCTCTTATGGTATATAATTTTTTTTTCGCGAATATAATCTAGCCAGTATGCCATAGTTATCGCGAAAAATCGACCGGGTCGTAACGAAGTAATCGATCATCGGCGCGCGATCGCGATCACATCCCGTGATTCCACGTTTCCTTTCAACATGGGCGGAACGATTCTCTCCCGAGTACTCGGATCACGGTTTAGATGGCCGACGCGATACCGCAAACGCGAGAAGAAACTTTAAACTGTCATTAAGGCAACTCTGCCTGGGTTAAGGGGTTCATTACCGGTCGAAACTCGCGTCTCGGTTTCTCCCGCGTCGAGTTCCCGACGACTGTGGCACACGAGACGACTACCACTATATCCTGCAAATTACGTCCCGTGCCGGTAAATTTACGAGTGTTTTCTTTTCTCCTTCTTCCTGCCTCGTTTTCCTCCCCGTCCTCGGCCACGCTCGGCCGATTGCGACGGCAATTACTGATCGATCATAATCTATCGATCTATCGGGTAGCATTATCTCTCGATATTAACTATGTAAAAATTGCAAAAATCGCGCTCGCATTGTGTCTCTGGCGGTGATACGCGTACTCGAAACGTGCGATAAATCATCGAGCGAATTCTACATCACGTCGCTCGAAGGAAAATACCGTTTAGACCGCAATTCAGAGCGAGAAGTCTTGTTCGGGAACTATTGTTCGGGTATTCACGCTCAAGTGGGAGTCTATTCATTTCAACGTCGACATATCTATCATAATTCAAAATGGAGAACCTTTATAACGTGGTTTTCCGGATGGAAATGAATTTAGCATTCGGTATACAATACATACATATGTGCGTAGAGCACACAAACCATATAAACCATAGAAAATAATAGATTTAAAATACTTTCAGTTGGGGAAGCTTACAAGCTTAATCGAAATGAAAGATTTCTACGAGACTGAGCGTATATTCGGAGTATTCTCGGAGGAAATAGTCTTTCGACGATAACGTTTCGACGGGGAAAAAAATGGGAAGGCATTTTCGTTAACGACCTTTCGTACGAAATCTCGTAACTTGTATTACATCGAGGGGTGGGTAGGTGGGCATGCGATGAATCGTCGCATAAATCACACACGCTGGAAGCACAGAGGCGTCCATCACCGCCCCCACGTTCGTCCGTCTGTCGCGGTAACGTCTTCGGGTCCTCCTCTGGGAGGGCAAGAAAACGAAGGCTTCGCTCGCAAATTAGTCACTGGGCCCAGATTACGAATGGACCACCTCCCCGGCGATCCGCGGGTATCCCGTTTCAGAAACGCCGGGCGAAATTAAACAAAGTGCTTCTCTCGGGTGGATTTTGCCTTCGGGGAGGCGCGACGACATCGCGCCCTTCGTCATCCGCGTCGTCTTGCGTTTTCTTGCGGTAAAAATAAAAAAATTGCACAACGAACAAATGGAATCGATAAATTTCAATGGTAGGCTATTCGTCGCGATTCTGCGAAACAAGACAACTTTCAAGAACAAACTTGACGATTTTCCAACCGCGGTGTCAGATTGTACGTGTCATCGTATAATTATTTATTATAAAACATTAGAGTTATATTATTTTATTTCTGAAAACAGTTTTAATCTTTCTTGCTTTTATGATTGTTTTATAAAACAGTGCGGTCACAATTATCAAATTATTCGCATTCTTATAATTATAACGCAAAGATATTTAATCGCCGGAGTAAAAGATATAGAAAACCATATATTCTTTTACACGATAGCCATTTTAATCAAGTCAAGATATACGGAAAATGAATTTTGAGATTTATGTTTAAAATGTATATTTCATATTACATGTATCGAGTGTTTTATTGCATTCTGATCTTGATTTATCCTTGTTGCAGGTGCAAGCCACCGATCCCGACTGCGGCGTAAACGCGATGGTCAATTATACCCTGCCTGGCGGTCGACTGGAGAGCGAGCAGCTCCTGGTGCGCAGTGATACGGGGGATATTTGCGTCCGGTCGCCTCTGGACAGAGAAACAGCGCCTTATCTGGAGTTGCCTGTCATCGCCACCGATCGAGGTTTGTGTTCTTCTTGTCTTTCTATTGATTATTAAACGATTATTAAATTGTCGAACTTGGAGACCAAACTCTTATATTTAGTTTTAATGAAACAATTATCAATCTTAATATTATTTGTTTTTCATAATTTGTGACATTTTCATTTTTATCATTTTTTACTTTTATCAGCGATATATTAATTTCCATAATTAAATCCATAAGTTTAAATATGTTATTAAAAGATGACAAATATCGCGTCAGAAAATTAATTTCTATTATAATTTGATATTAAATATCGCTATCATTAATCTTTCCGCCCTTTCGTACCTTGTAATCTAAACATTGAACATCCTTACCTATTGTAATTCAAGATATTCACACTGTTGCGATGATTCGGTCCGATCGCGCGATCTCGTGCGATCGCGATCTCTCGTTCCGACGACGTAGGAACAATGCCCGTAGGAACTTTGCCGTTCGCGTGCGAGTACCGTTGTACGCACTATGGCATCGATAAGGGGGACGGAGGATGGGGTGGGACGAGACGACACAAGTAGAAACAAGTAGAAACGGCGGCGCGGGACGAAGACACGCGCGTGTAGAAACGGGAAGAGGAACGCGAGAGGAAGGTAGAAACAGCGGAGAGGAAAAGACGGTTGGCTATCGACCCGTCGAGATCTAGTAGCTCTGTAATAGGGTGTATGATTTATGTCGCGATGGTGGGTTCTCCGTGGCCATTTTCAACGCGGTAGCGAGCCGGCCGCTTTATGGGAAAGGACAATGACTGCGGATCCATTGATCCATCGTGGGACGCTACCGGCGACCGGTGCGTGATTTTTTGTAGAATTTTTGGAGCGCGGGAAGAAGAACGAGGCAGCATAGTATATTCGAGGAAAGAATATCTACTGAAAAACCGCAAGATCAAAGAGAAGTAGGAAGAGGAGGGTAACTATTGTTGGCGTTATGCCGTTTTGCAAACAAGCGCGCGAACGTAATTGTCGCTCGTTATCGATACGATTGTCCGCCGTGCGAGAGCGGCAGAGTGTCGGTGGATATTGTCAGGATGCACAATAGAATGCCGGCCGGATATGACGGGCACCGGGAGGCATACGGGAGCGCGGAGAGCGATGCACCGCGAATACCGGTGCCGACGTGATTTATATGCCTGCTGACTAGCGCGTCGCGACAGTCGTGCATGTTTGTAAAAAATTTACGAGCAAGAAGAGGAACAACGCTGCGCGCGAATTCCAATTTCGCAGTACTCGCCGAGAATGGAAATGACGAGAGAGAGAAAGAGAGGGGGAGGGATGCTCTCGTAGTTAGATAAATTTCATTTCCCGAGTTGTCGTACATGGGCGGCACATCCGAAAGTATACTGTATCTCAATCAAAGTCCGGGACGCGCGGAAATGATTACAAATATCTTCCGGCGATTCGCACGTCCTCGCGTCCAGGACTTCCTCGTGGCGCCGCGCGCGCCCGAGACTCATTAATCCTCCTCCTCCTTGCCTCTTATTTTTACGCCGGCGATTAATTCTTCTTATTGCCCACCTGTAATTCGCGCGGAGAGAATCATTTTGGCGCGACGGCAGTAAAGCGAATCGCGAGCCACCGTGAACCACGCGGGCCAGGTGCGCATGATTTATATCACCTGCTGACGTTCGCTACGCGAACGACGACTTCGAGCTCTCCGCCTGCGTTCATCCCCTGCGCGACTCGCTGCTGCATCGCGCCTCTTCGATATTTATCGAGGGGGGGAAATGCCGACGATAAGCAAACCGTGCCGCTTACTATCGTGCTAACAGCGCTGGATAACGCGGCGTGCACGGCCGTGCTGATAATTATTACTTACGAGTGAATCGAGGCAGGATCTGTGAGAGAGATATCTATGGATTTCCTTAAATGAATCGGACGTAGAATCGGTTGACAGGAGGCGCCGTCCCTCGTCGAGAATCGATGAATAAATACTCGAATAATTCGATGAATAATAAATTTAGAGCGCTTTCTTTTTTTGCTGTTGCCACCTGTGAATGAAGAGAATCGTAACAATTGAGATAGGTAAAAATTTTCGCAAATTTCGAGTATTATTTGGGTTTTAATCGCCACAATAAATTATATGGCAGAAACAAATAATTTCTTGTAAAAAACATTTTTCAACATATTTGCAATGTGATAGAATTACCGATGTTATTCGAACTGGATTTTCTTTTGCCGAGAATATCCTTTAAAGGGGAGAAATCTTGAATCGGTATCGATTACGCGCGGGTACGATATCTTAATGTAATTTCTACGTTAATCTCTCGGCGAAATCCTCCAAGCAATTCCTGTCGCGCAGAGATATCCCGCCAACAGGATAGATTTTATCTCGCATCTTCGATTTATCGTCGCGTGTTGACGGTAAGAAATAGAAAAAAAGAGATGTGCTATCTGTTTTCTTGAAATTATATACCTGCGAGAACGTGTGTCTGCCTCACAATATACGTAGGCAGGTGTATACAAATGTAAAGAAAGGCGCGTCCGGAAGGACGCACACCGACTTCTCGGACGATGCGCGCTTCGCAACTATACACACTAGGAAGAAGGTGACTTTATTGGCATCGGCATCATAAATCTTCGAGGCTTAACTCCCACCGGACGTTCGTGTCATTGTCCGCACCGTTTTTGCGTTTATTTATTTCCACTTCTCGACGCCGCGCGATACCGCGCATAATCTCGGATATGTCACCGAGCGAGCTGTCAGTTCGTACATTGTAACGAACTTTGAAATCAGCTGTGCGCATTTGCGCGCGGCATATTAATGGAACGAATCGTTTTTCTCGCTTGTAGTGAAGAAAAAAATAAATTTGCGGATTTACGCGAAAGCAAGTGTCTGCTGTTTAATTCGTAAGTAATTTAAGAAACATTTATTTTTCGACCATGAATCTGTTGTTGAAATTGTTTAACGTCAAACGCGAAATTCTAAAGTCACGTGCAAAAAATCAATAACAAGTACGCGTGTCTGTAACACGCGTGTGTTGTGAAACTCATTCTTCGCACATTCGTAATCTCGCTATGAGGTTGAGCACCGCCGCACCTACCGGCCGTATAAATCTCTCGGAACCCTCGTATCCCCCGCCGCACGAATCTCGAAAAGGACTCATCCCGGCGATCGAGCGCGTGAAATTAAAAGGGCCGGATTGCACCGGCCACAAAATATCGGACCGTGCATTAAAATGCCGTTGAACTATCCCCGGGAAGTCGGTTCGTTCTTGGCACGTCCTTTGGTCTTCCGTATCGAACACGTGAGTATTTAATCAATTCTTTTTTATCCTCCACAAAAGGATGCTACGCGATTTGATCTATGAAAGCGCATCGTAAATCCGCAATTAAAAGTCATTAGGGTCGCAACAAGCTTTTTCAATAAGTTCCGTGTGACTATGTCCGTTATCTAGAGATCAGATCTCGATATCTCGATATTGTCCATGCATTGTCACGGATACTTGGTCCTTCTATAGAAGAGAGGCCGGGGCACGAGAGACCGTGGTAGCATGGGATGCGAGAGACCGGACCCTTGACGCATGACTCCAATGACACTCGTACCTATAAATCTCCTCGCGCCTGAGAGAGCGCTCCGCACGGTCCGAGTCCATACATTACTATGAGTTACGGTTGTAAACCGTTTAAACATCGGATTACCCGTTTTACATACACTGTCTTTGATATTAACACTTGCGTCATGCTTCGCCTAAATCTCACGGCGACGACCAGGAGCTCGCAGTACTCTGTTACACTATCTGATTTCTCGTTGCTCGCCGATATTGCGCTCTTAAAAATTACAAAAATACTAGTAATCTGTGATTATCATTTGCAAAATGCGTGCGAGAGACACAGCCCAGCGCAATTTATAGCGAATCTGACAAATAAGGAGCTCTCTACGACTTAGCGTTCTGTATCATGAGACAACTAAATTACTTGCCGGATTAGACGATCGCACAGTCAACGCTGCATACGAACGAGACAAATGAATAGTCGCTTAATAATTTTTCCTGTAAAATAACAATCTCATTATCAGTTATATTTTCTAATTTTATTGTACGCGTACTTCACCGATTGTAGTTAATCGATCTATCAGCAAAGCTATTATCCGAGAGATCGTGATGTCTAAAAGAGCGTGGTCGTTAAGACACTGCGAGAATGCGGCCATTTGGGGACCCCATAAGCTTCTCGTGTTTGAAATATTACTACGAACGGCGCATTACCCCCCCGCGCGGGAGTAAAAGAGCTCACGTCGACGCACACGTGCTCGCGCGTGTCCGAATAAAATGCCAGAGAAAGAGAGAGAGGATACCGAGCGAGAAAAAAAACTGAAGAAAGAACGCAGTGAGAAAAGAGCGAGACGAAACGAAAACCTGTGAAAGGAGAGAGCGAGAGAGGCCAGCGGCTGATTGGATCCGAGAAGAGGCTGCGGTCCGTGATTTATGCCGACCGGCTTCGGGCGCGTCCCCGTAGATTCGTTCTCTACGTCGGCTAATACCCCGACATTATTTGGCTCAATAAGAGGATTTCGGCCGGGAATGAAATAAACATAATCGCTCTCGACCGCGCACTTCTTTCTCGCTTCCATGTGAAATGCGCGGATAAGTGTATAGCATAAAGGCCACCTCATAGATTTTTTTAAAACTCGCATAAAACTCTGAATGATGACTCTCCCTGAATATTAATAAAGCACACAACATAATAATATATTATAATATTATGCGCTATTATTTCTGCAGGTACTTATATTCGTAATAACTTGAAATCATTACTTTGATATAACGAGACAAACGATTCTTAAGATTGTAACAAACACAATATTAATTGCGGACTGCGTTCAATTTTTTTGCTTTTAATTGTTATGATAATTTTTTTATCAACATTTCCCGATATTGGATTTATTTACAATATTTATTCTTGTAATTTAAATTTTTCTAATTTTTTAAATATTTAATATATAACGTATGAGTATGGTCACACGGAGTTTACCTGACGAAATTGTCGCATGTCGATGCGATATACTATACTTACGCATAACAATTATACAATAATAGTATGAAATAAATTCTGTAATAAACCATATATGTATAGTAAAATAATTAGAAAATAATAATTTGAAAATTTGTTTAAATTATTTTACTTCATACTTGATCTTACTAATTTTATAACAATTTCGTTACGAACTAATTATAAATTATTAATAAATCAATCATTATATATTTACAGGTGGATTAAGCACTATAGCGATCGTGCGCATCGAAGTGACGGACGTGAACGACAACTGGCCAATCTTCGAGCCGCGGAAATATAACGTGACCTTGCGTAGCGACGGCACCATACACGGTCCAATCTTGAAGGTAGTAGCGACCGACCTTGATGCCGGGCTTTCCGGCCAAATCGCCTATCGTATCGCTAGCGGCAACGAGGCCGGAGTCTTTCGCATCGATCGAAATACCGGCGAGTTGCACGTGACGAGACCAAGCCTGCTCTCGCGATCGTGGTTGCATCAGCTCAACGTGACGGCGACTGACGCGGCCGGCTTGAAGAGCCTCGTTGACGCCGAGGTCAAGGTCACCGTCTCTTCCTCTGGGCACAAAATCGCCACTTGTGAGAAGCCGCGCTACACTGTCACGGTCAAGGAAAGCATCCCGCAGAACAGCATCGTCGGCGGCGTAAAGGACACCACGACAGCGTCATCCTCCTCGACAGGTACGTCAATTCGCTTTTATGCAAAGTTCTTTTATTGGTCGACCGTTACGTCTCGCAACCCATCATCGCTCGATGTAACCACGGACGCATGTCGAGAATATCATTACGACTGTCACTCGATGAATGACAAAGATTTTCCTCATCGATGTGCCGCATAAATTTTATAAATTTATGAGTAATTATATCAAAGAGTGTTGTTTCCTGATGTACAATTTTCGCGCATCATTCTTGTATCAATGTACGTTGATAATTTTTTTCATTACTTGTTAATCAAATTTAAAGTTTGTACTTAGAAGAAAATAACCAGAAAATTTATCTTTGCGCGACGTCACGATACATGACAGCGAACGTGTTTGCATACCGGAGTTAATCTGGCCGATTCTAGAACGAGGGTACCATCTCCGATCCGGCAAATGCCTCGAAAACGTATTCCACGCGCGGTGCTACCGCGTTAGCATAGTCGCGTCACGAGTAAAATGCCGAAGACTTCACAAACGCCTACGTATACGTGAACGTACGTTCAGGCACGACGCTCGGCCTTAAAAGCTGAAGCGCATTACGAATGAAGATATCCACGCCGCTTTTATACGAGGTACGTAAAGCGCAGTGCAACACGACGGGACGCCTCGATATACTTTGGTGAGCACGCGCAAGTCCCACGTATCCGCGCGCTATTTAAGGATATTCATGTTTCATGTAGCGCCGAACATGCGGCGACAATATAGGTGTCGAGGAAAAAACTTGGTAAATTTCCAGTCAGCGTGTCGAACGTAAGAGTTTTTGTCCGTGACTTTAGCAAAAGATAGGTTAGCGGGGAAAGAGGTTCTTTCCGATCGAGCCAAACAGGTGGTCATCGAAAGGAAGGAGGAGGAATAGAAGAAGCGGGAGAAGACTAAGGTTACGGAGCGAGGGGGGGAGATCGAGCTCGGGTAAGGTCGCGGACGGGTGGGTGGATTACTCCGTGCCGATATATCGAGACACCGGATAGAGGAGAGAGAGCCAGGGAAAAAAGGGGGAGGGAGAGCCGAGGAGAGGTACGTATCCGTGTTTCCACACTGGTGGTACATCTGATGCAAGATAGGCCGCGTCACGACCCGCGCTCACCGCGCCATATACCCGATGCACCGTGTAAACTGTCCTGCACGGTACCGAGCGGTACGGCACGGTACGTTATAGGCTCGTGGATACTGGATAGTTTACACGCTGGTGCCTTACCGGTTGGTCGTATTGTTCGTCCCGGCGTGGCCCGCATATGCGGCCTGTTGCATATCAATGCGCGAGGCATCGAGTATGTACCTTCTTCGCTGAGCGACGACGTGGATCTCTTTCTTTCTCTCTCCCTTTCTCCGTGTCCTTCCTTCTCTCCTCGGTTCCGCTTGTCCCGTCTCTCTTTCGCCCGCGAGAGCATACGAGAGCGACTACGAAACGAGAGAAAGGAGAAGGCTCTCTGGACGTAAGCTGCGCTATCCGAGGTTAAAAAGTATCCTGACCCCGTACGACGCACGGCCTCGATTCATAGTAGATTCTCAGTCGTCGTCGTCTTCGTCGTTGCCGTTGTCATTGTCGTGGTGTCGGTACGTCTCCCCCGTAGGAACGTTCAAGCGCGATCAGGAAACGCATTTCTCAGATTCTTCATACTGGTATTACAGCAATGACACGCGTAGATAAATCGTAATTATGTGATCGTTGTGATCGTTGTGATGGACAAGTGAGTCTATACAAAATGTAATTCAAACGCAGCTTCGTTATCTCTTCATTTCTTCGTAATGTTGTAATCCCAGGAAGCTAAACTCAATGTGCTGTCTGCACAATTTTTGGCAGGATAATCTTATGCCGTCGTAGTGTCGGTTAAAAATCTGTACCCCTTAAGAAGAGACTGGCAAATAAAATATAAAATATGATAAAAGGCAACGGGAAGCGCCTTGTATACATGACGTGAAACAACGAGCGCCGTCTCGCGCGTTGCGCATTCAAAGTTGTCCTTCCGGCATCGGCGCAATCGACCGGTCGGTTTCAGAACCCGACTTTCAATCGGCCACGCGTCCGGCCGAGAACCAGTTCGCGCAGAAGAACGCGGCCTGACACTCAGGCCCGCAATATTTGACACACGGCAGCCAATCAGATTATCAGATTAAAGTTGAACGGGGCCGGCGATCGTCGGCACAGGTGGGGTTCGTTTCGGTTGTGCGAGAAAGAGAGAAGGGGAGAAATCTCGCGGGCGCGCATTGACGTACACCGGCGATCCGTTTTGCGACACCTGTTTCGATAAATCAGATCGAGTCTGGGACGAAATGGCACTCGGCTTCGCGTTTCGATTGAATCAGTTATATTGATCGATCGATTCCTAACGAGACAGCGACAAAGCGACGATGATATCTTTACTGTATCATAAAATATTTTTATTTTAACATAATTTTCTAATATTAGTAAAAATATATCGACATTGATAATATAGTCGATTAATCTAAAATAATTTATAATGTTAAATTTTAAGATTTTTTTATCTGTTTTTTGTTTTTTCAAGAATATTGTGCGTGTTTGCAGTCAAAGTCCTGATTCGCGAATATTCGTTATCAACGAATGTTCCATTAATCAAATTAATTTTAAGATAATCAATGCTTTTTATCTCGATTGCGAGATACTAAACTATAATATTAAATCGAGTCAAACGTAAAACATCGAGACACAAAGGCTACTACTACTTTACTACCATCCATTCTGATAAGCAAACTTTGCCCGAATCCTCTTTGAATCGCAAAAGAGATTATTAAGAAACGAAAGCCGACGAAAGAACGATCATTTCGATTTAAAAAACCTATTAAAACTGACATAGAATTCCGAATCGAGAGAAGCAGTCGTTTGCGAATAGTTATGCTTCCATAAAACCTGACGATAAAGTGAAAAATCATTTGACGTTTACGGTTGAGTTTATGGTAGAGAATCATCGACTAGAAAAGACTAGTCTTATCTTATCCACGGACGAGCGGTCGAATCCAGCGAGTTGAATGTATTGTCCAAGAAAGTAGAAAATGTCTAGAAATCGTGATGACGCGGATTCGAAAATTAATGAGACATGGAGATAAATCGAAATTGAGCGCAGAAGAAACCGATTATGATCGAAATCGTCCGACTTTGTTTTGCTTAGGTTGCTCTTGTAGCGTGCATGGAAAGAGCGAAAGCGGGAGTGATGGATAGATAAAAAATAGCACGGGATTAGTGCCATTGGAGCGAATCGTGTGGGAAATCGATGCTGCAAACGCGCGACGAGACCAGTCAATCGGTCGGATAGTACTACACACCGATAGTTTGCTCTCTTCTTGGTCGCGAGAATCCGTGAACATAAAACAAGATAGCTGTTGTTGAACAGCGGTTTCGCAGCACGCGGAAGAAGCGATAACGACGGTAACAAGCATCTTCGTTAGAAAGCTGACGTGCAATCGGTGACTGCTCATCAAAAAGTCACACTTTCCTTCTCTCGCCAACTTTCTTGCGATTATGCATCTCGGTGATTTGCGGTCAAAGTTTCGAAAAGTAATAAAAGGCGCGTATAATAAATATAGCTTCGCATAGTTGAGTTTAAAGTTGAATGTCTGAAATTTTTTGCAATATTATTTTTTACTATTAATCCGCTCATATTTATCAATAATATTTTCATATTTATTCGCGGGCGATTCGTTATTTTTTAATTCAAAGCTAATTAATAACGCAGCGAATTTTGATTTTGCCAAACACTCTTGGATCGAATATATCGTGTACTTTTCGGGGCCTGGCATTCTTGTCGAAAGAATGCGCGCTTCTTGAGTGCCGGTCGAGAAGACACGAGCCGAACGAAGAGATTGGAACGAGCGAGACGAGGAAGAAGGATACGAATGCGAAAGGAGTCGGGGGGGGGGGAAGGGCGAGAGGAGGAAGAGGTGGAGGTGGACCGTCGTCGTCGCCGAGGTCGCATAAATCGTCGTGAGTCGGATTCCGGGCAGCCGAACGCAAGCCGCCATTGTCCGAGACTTTTTGCCCCTCTCTCCCTATCGAGGGGGCTGCCGCTACGAAGCTGCACTCTTTGCATATGCTTTAAATATCGCCGCTCAGCGCGCTCGCTTTGAGAGCTCCCACGTCCCTTCCTCTTCTGTCTTCCCTGCGCGAAGAAAAGACAGCGAGCGCGGCGAGGTGCGCAGGAGGGTGAGAGTAGGAGGAATGAAAGATGAAGAATGTCGGCGGAAAGAGAGAGAGAAAGAGGAGCCCAAAATTCGCTGACTGTCGACTGTCCTCTCGTCGCAATTGGCGGATCGCATTAGATGCATCTCACCCCGCGATTCGTATCTCGCATTCTCTCGAGAGCGTCACCGCGTCATTGTGCGTATCGGAGAAACGTAAAATAAATAATTTTGATTTTACGACAGGGTGCGCGTATCTAAGCCATTTAGTTTTACAACATTTGCAAATTTAACCGTCCAAATTTTTAATGGTGAACAAGTAAATAAAAAAAGATGGGAAATCGGGAAACACAGGATCGATATTTCAAGAAAACTATTTCAACCGAACATCCCGTCTTAATCTTATCCGTGCGACACAGTCTGTTTTTAACGAGTTTAACGATGACACCATAAAGATCAACGTGCATTGCAGTCGTTTAAGACCGACCATAAAGATACATCCGGATATAACGCGCATGAAACGATCTGGCCGTAACGTCTCAAAATAGCGTATAATCCGCGCCACTCTCGTCGACTATCAAATCGTAAGAAATGTTCCTTCGAATTAAAGACGCTCGAGTTACTTCATTTTTATGTGTTAATTATTGTCTCATTACGCATGGATTCATCAGCTCGAGATATACAATATATTTCTTCCACGAATCAATTAAAGCGTGATGCATTCCGTCTCTTTTTCCGCGCCATTAGAACCGCAGATTGCGTTTCTCTTCTTCGTCCTCATCCTCGTTTCTTCTGTTCGATCTTCGCGAGTCTTGCTACTCTCCTTTCTCCGTTGCACGGATCGTTCTT